GAAATTGCGAGCCAGACCTTCTCATCCGACATCAGTGCCTGACCTCACAAATGCATTTCTGGAAGAATGGTCAAACATTCCCATAGACACACTCCTAAACCTTGTGGACAGCCTTCCCAGAAGGGTTGAAGCTGTTATAGCTGCAAAGGGTGGGCCAACTCAATACTGAACCCTACAGCCTAAGACTGGAATGCCATTAAAGTTCATGTGCATGGAAAGGCAGGCATCCCAATACTTTTGGTTATATAGTGTACTAGATGCTATGTTAACCTTTAACATTGACTGGGAAATTTATTCGAAAAACTATGAAAATATAAAATTTGTGTGAGGACCAACCAATGGATTTATACATTTTAGCTATAAATTGTCCCAGCTAACACTAAGAGCTAGAGAACAAAACGCGATAAACACTTTGCCCGCATAATACATCCCAGACTCCCTCGCATTTATATTCACTGCATTACCTTCAAACAGAACACCAAACTTTAAAATAATGAAGGAACTGCAAATGAATTCCATCACTTTTACCCGGACCTCTATAATCTTGAAACTACTTCCTCGCAATCCAAGCTGCTTAGATAAAATCAGAGTTTATATACAAGAAACAGCACTTCCCACTAGTGATTTCTCCATTGCAACATTGCTGGATCAACCCTTCACCTCCAGTGAGTTTCTACAAGCCACTACTAGCTAGAAGACAGGCAAGTGCCCTGACTCAGATAGATTTACCCCCATGGTTTTCAAAACATTTGCTGCCCACCTGTTTCTGATATTGCCCATGCCTTCAATTTATCATTAATTATCATCCCTTTTTCCCAGAAATGCTGACATCCAACATTTTGGCCATGCCCAAACTGGGTAAGGAAGTCTCCTTTAATGGGAACTACAGACCCATTTTACTTATGAACCTAGATGTAATGATTTATTCCAAAATTCTCACCAGTAGAATTTTTCCCCTGCTCCCCAACTTAATTCACAAAGAGCAAATGGACTTTGTCTCTGACCAAGAGACCAGAGACATCTCTAAAATAAATCTCATTCCCTACATCTACAAATACAAAATACCAGTGCGCCTTCTATCTGTAGATACTGAAAAAGCTTTCAACAGGGTCAACTGGAATGTTCTTCACATATCATTTGAATAAATAGGCTTAGGTCCTAATTTAATCACCAAAATTATATCACTGTATTCTACTCTATCTGTAAGATTCCCAATTAATGGCACCATATTTTATTTACTCCTCATCAGAAATGGAACAAGACAAAGCTGTCCTATCTCCCCACTCCTTTTCCTGCTAGTGATGGAACCCCTGGCCAGTGCTATCTGGAGTGCTACCATACATGAGGTTAAAACCATTTTGTTACATCACAAAATTTCCTATGTTTACAATCTATTGCTCTATGTACGACAGCCCCACATCAGCCTACCATCAATCCTATTAAAGTTTTAATGACTTGGAGAGAGATCCTGGCAATATTAAGGATAACATCTCAAAAACTGAAGCACTAAAAAGTTCTGATTTCCTTCCACCCTCTCTCTGCTCAATTTAATGTCAATCCAGATACATCACTTATCTTGGCAAATCTACTGTATCTCTTCCAAACCTGTGGATCTTTATATTCTCAATAATATTTTTCTACTAAACAGAGCCCAAAAATGTTTAGAACAATGGAAACCCCCAAAAACATTTCTTGGTTGGGATTACAATACAACATACTATCCACAAACCTATCTTTTCACCTTTCTGTCACTCTCCAAGCTTGGACTTTGGCATATGCAATTTACACATTTTCATCCTTTTCTGGCCCACTCTTAACTCTTCTTGACAATCTACATTTTCTTATAGGCATCTCCACCCACATCCTTGCTGGGTGAAACAGACTTTCCTGGCTTCATACCAAGCACCTTAAAGGACCATTTATTTCAGCAACATCCCTTATAAGTGCAAAAGGGCTCTTATGCTTACAGATTGACACTTTTTTAATAACCCTACATTCTTCTTCACATACCCGTAGACCAGTTAAAAAAACTGTGCTCTCTCCCAGAACTCCTCTGTCACCTATTACCCCTTCTCTGTGGAATGGTCCAGGTGGGGAATAATAGTTTTAATCCTTGATATGTAAGAATGGAATCAAGACTTGAGGCACACAATCTTAAATGGAAAATGGCACAATACCTTCATTTTCACTCATATATCCTCAATCTCATGTTATTCATGGTAGAAAAAATATTCTACTGTATCAGACACATGCTGGAGGAGCAGTGCAGAAGTGAGAATTCTTCTATATATTTGGTTTACTGGACTGAAATATTTTTATTTGTAATGAGAGATTTTCAATACTTCTATTCCACTATCTCCAGAAATGATGCTACTATCACTCTTGGACCTGTAGCAGGTAAAAACAAAAGTTTAAGCTGCCACTTTATAGAAAATTCATATTCATTATTTGGAATTCAACAACTTCTCCTCCCTTATTACTCTGGATAGACACCATAAATGATATAATGTGTACAGAAGAGTTCTTTGCTATCGATAATGAAATATGATAATTTATGTCCCAATGGAGTGTTGCATTTCTCCAAATCTCCTTCCTTACAGGACAGGCTCTAAACTCACTCTCCTTCTTTACTCCAAAGCATTACCTCTTTTTCTCATTTTATGGGCCAACCTGAACCTAGCAATCACCATTTACCCCTCCTTAAACTTTCCTCCCTTTATACCCTTCCATCCCCGTCAGAAATAAAATGTGAAGAGAATTATCAGTCCTTGCAATGGCTTGCAATGATATCCTAAGATATGGTGTTTTATCATTTAAAAATAAAAACATTTGAGACCTGATCTCTCTTAACATCTTATCTTACCCACTGAATGGCACTTCATGAAATAATAATATTGATTCTTTTGCATATCTATAGTTGTACTGCTATTAGTAAAAAAAATCAACAAACAAAAAAAACTAATGAAAGTGACACTAAACGATATCCTTATATTCCCAAAAATAATCCAAGCGCATCCACTAATTGGTGACCCTGTAATTTTTGTAATTACGGTAAATTGTTTCTTACTGTGTGTTTATGACTCTTTGTTGTAATCATCTATGTGAACTCCTGAACCTCTTTACCGCATCACCTCCATTTGTTTGAAATGAGCAATGCACGTTAGCTGCGGTCATAAGCACTACGCTCTGCACACTACAAATCTCATAGCTCACAGTTCCTAGTCCATCTTGGGAGTGAACAAGTTATTGTGGCTACATTCTTACATACAGTGTCTTGAGAAATTATTCATACCCTTTGAAATTTTCCACAGTTTGTCATTGTACAACCAAAAATGTAAATGTATCTTTTGGGATTTTTTGGGATAGACCAACACAAAGTGGCACATAATTGTAAAGTGGAAGAAAAATGATAAATGGTTTTCAACATTTTTTACAAGTAAATATCTGAAAAGTGTGGTGTATTCAGCCTCCCCGAGTCAATACCTTGTAGAACCACCTTTCAGTGCAATTACAGCTGCAAGTCATTTTGGGGATGTCTCTACCAGCTTTGCACATCTAGAGAGTGACATTTGTGCCCATTCTTCTTTGCAAAATAGCTCAAGCTCTGTTAGATTGGATGGAGAGCATCTGTGAACAGCAATTTTCAAGTCTTGCCACAGATTCTCAATTGGATTTAGGTCTGGACTTTGACTGGACCATTCTAACTGATGAATATGCTTTGATCTAAACCATTCCGTTGTAGCTCTGGCTGTATGTTTAGGGTCGTTGTCCTGCTGGAAGGTGAACCTCCTCCCCAGTCTCAAGTCTTTTGCAGACTCTAACAGGTTTTCTTCTCAGCATTGCCCTGTATTTGGCTACATCTATCTTCCCATCAACTCTGACCAGCTCTCTAACAAACCTCTGAGGCTTCACAGAACAGCTGTTTTTATACTGAGATAAACTTGCACACAGGTAGACTCTATTTACTAATTAGGTGACTTCTGAAGGCAATTGGTTCCACTGGATTTTAGTTAGGGGTATCAGAGTAAAGGGGGCTGAATACAAATTCACACCACACTTTTCAGATATTTATTTGTAAAAAAAATGTTTAAAACCATTTATCATTTTCCTTCCACTTCACAATTCTGTGCCACTTTGTGTTGGTCTATTTCATAAAATCCCAATAAAATACATTTACGTTTTTGGTTGTAAAATGACAAAATGTGGAAAACTTCAAGGGGTATGAATACTTTTTCAAGGCATTGTACAATGGGACTATGCAGAACAAATGTAGCCATTCTCTAACAGGAAGTTGTATCACAGCAGCAAAAACAAAAATAGGAATTTGTAAATTGGAGACAGCTGAGAGCAATAGAAGGTATTTTGGAGTTAAGAATATACACTTAAATGGATTTTTTTTTCCAGAGTTTAGTGTCTCTAACCATGCACTGTCAAGTTAGTGCTGATAAACTATGTCTGACTATCTGAAAATGTTCTAGGTTCAATACACTTTAGAGCTGAGTCATACATGTGCAATGCAGATTGAAGCTCAGGTTTCACAGCTAAATGATACAGTTGATAGTTGTTCAGCGGTTCAGGTCAGGTTTACATCAGGTTCAGGTCAGGTTTACATCAGGTTCAGGTCAGGTTTAAATCAGGTTCAGGTCAGGATTTTATCCTGTTCACAGCTGATGACATGTGTGGTTTAAAAATGGTTCTCTTAGAAGACAATAGGCTGTAATCCGCACCTGTACCGAACCGCACTGCTCAGAAATTGGATAGGACTCTTTTTCAATCCGCACTGAATCTGCACTGCCAGTGCACTGGACATATGTGAACAAGCACCATAGGAAGCATTGTTATTTTCACATGTCATGCGGATTGGATGAGGTTAAAACTGCATCCAATTCGCATATATGAACCGGCACTTATTGTTAACTCTAAAGTTTGCATCTTTAAAAATTTGGGTTAACCAATAATTAACCTCCCTAGCGGTATTCCCGAGTGTAGCTCGGGGTAACATTTCAGTACCAAGACCGGTAACCCCGAGCTACACTCGGGAATACCATGCGGCACTGCTCCGGCATTTGTTCTTCACTTACCTTACCCTGCGCTCCCACGATGTGTCCCCTGCAGCGTCCCCGGCCATCTCCTTCGGCCGATGCCGGCATCCGGCTTCTGTGTCCTGTCCCTGTGACGTCGGGACGTACGGGCGCCAGCGGCGGCGGGAAATTTCAAAATTTTAAATAATGTCATTTTTTTTTTTTTACATTTTACATAGTAAAACATTGCTGTCTCAACCAATTTCACATACATTTTGTCCCTAGTGCTTTGTCCTGCGCCCCGCCTGCATTTTGACTGTTCTTTCTGCCGGGAAACTGAGAAACGTCCATGGCGTCCAAAAAGTGTCCCTTTAGGTCAAAAGCGGTTTAGATCAGCTAGAGAACAGCGATAGTAAATCAGAACCACTTGCAGAATTGAGTGATAATGATTTGTGGGGAAATTCGTCATCAGACACTGAAAACGATTTTGCGACTTTGCTCAGCAATGTGCGAACTTATTATGGCGCTATATTTCAAATTTCTGTGTTTTTGGTTTGATTATATTATTGAATTAAATGTATTATTATTATATTTTATGATTATTTATTAAATTATAATTTATGATTTTGTGTTTCAAATTTTATCATACCCGGGATGTTTACTAGACTCTTGTTCGGACAGATTTCAGTGAGTTATTCCTAAATTACAGGCCTACAATAAAAAAAACTACATATTTCCATGCAAAATAATGGTACCGCTTTCAGCACCAAAAATCTGAAATAATCATACCGCCAGGGAGGTTAAAGGGTGTCAAGTAAACGTCAAACTTTCTGCTTTTCTTAATAGATAATGTATACAACACTCTGCTAGATTTCTAAGAATAATACAACGGGATTGATTTACTAAAACTGGAGAGTGCTAAATCTGGTGCAGCTGGGCACAGAAACCAATCAGCTTCCAATTTTATTTTTTACAAAGCTTAATTAAACAAACTGAAGTTGGAAGCTGATTGGATACCATGCACAGCTGCTTCAGATTTTGCCCAATGCAGTTTTAGTAAATCAACCCCAAAGTGTTGTTTGTTAGCCGTGGTATTAGCAGTAATGTGTCCAGCAGCTTAGGACCTGGAAACTGGTCACCCACATTTATATTTAGAGGAATTGGAACTTAAAATACCATCCGCTTCAATTTTGTAAAGAAAACAACCAGGGAAGTTGTACTGTATAAGTGAAAGAGATTTAGTTCCATTCTAATGCAGAAGACTGAAAACCTTTTATGCATCTATGGAAATAAACAGTTAAATGCATCCCAGCATAATGTTTTATTTTAATATTAGATTTCATTCTTAATATATAAATGGTCTAATGACAAGCAGTTTTAAACATAAGCAGAAGGGTTAACATATGTGTATCCAGTTTAAATAAACAATGCTTCTTTGTATATTGCCAAAGACATTACTTCATGCTTTAGCATGGAAAAATATTACCCTTAAGGGCCACTTTAGAACTGTTTAGTCCTGGAGGTGATTTATCAGAGCTGAGAGAAAATGCAGTGCAATCTATTGGCAGTAAGGCACTTCAGTCACTGGGTCTCACATCCTGCTAATAAATGAAAAATATTCTGGACTGCATGTTACAGACACTACCACTATCCTAATTTTAATAAAACTAAAATAATTACTAAATAATTACTAAAGCTATAAGTTTCTCATTTTCCTTTTAATTGTCCTAAAACCATGGAAGAACTGCAGACTTACAACACAAAATACAGTGGTACCTTGGTTTAGGAACGCCTCGGTTAATGTAATTTTCAGGTTACGAATGAAAATCCATTGGAAATAATGCCTCGGTTTACAAATTTTTTTCACAATACGAAGCAAGTTTCCGCAGGATGCATTGCGCCTGCAAGGTTTATAGCGCTGCCACTGTGCATGCTGGAGTCTGTGGGTAGCACGTAGTATTGAGTGTGGAGGTGTTACAGCGGTTTTTGCATCGAGTTTTGGAGCCTTTCTAGAAATGTTTTAACATGTCCCTGTACAGTATTTATGCCTTTAAATTGCACTTTATAAAGAGTTTTGTACAGATAAAAGACTTTTTTTTTTACTTTTCTGACCTCCAGAATGGATTAATATGTTTTCAATGCATTCCTATGGGAAACCGCGTTTCGGTTTATGAATGTTTTGCAATACGAAAACTCCTGGAGAACGCATTCAATTTGTAAACCACGGTATCACTGTATGTTGATTTCTCTGTAGTGGTTGCTGCTAATCAATTGACAACAAACTTTTAACTCTGTGACTATGCATACTGTAGCCATTCTACTCACAAAAGTGAGGGGAAGCATGAGAAAACGTCCTCAGGAACTGCTCTGTGTCTGAGGGCTGGTTTTTGCATGAGGCTAGAGAAACAGTTGTCTTTTTGCTTGGGAGGGTGAAAAGATAGGGAAAAATGTTTCCTTTAGGGGAGATAAAAGGTTTTGCTTGGGGGGTTGGTTGCAGTATAACATACTCTGCCGGGTGTAAAGTAGTCCTGTTAATTGCACTCTGTACTCTAGTGTGCAGCAGTCAGGAGTATACAACATACAGCACAGCATTCAGAGTGTAGCAGTCAGGAGTATGTAACAGTGTATATTACATACTCTTAGATCACCATACTCTGTAGTCTGTGCTATATGTCACATACTTATAACCACTGCACTCGTTATGCTGGGCTGTATGTTACATAGTATTGACCACTGCACTGTGTATTCTGCACTGTGCTTTATATACTCCTGAACACTGCACTCTGTACACTGGGCTGTATGTTGGGTACTTAAGGCCGCACCAAACCTCGGCTTTACTTTACATACTAATTATTACTGTACTCTGTATACTGAGCTGTACTTTGCATACTCCTCACCCTTGCACTTTGTATGCTACATTTTCCAGACTGTACTAAATACAGCATATTGTACATTATGTACTCCGACTCCTGCACTCTGTACGGTACATCCTCCTGATCTCTGCACTCTGTACATTATATATTCTTGAACCTTACACTAAACACACTATCTTTTACATTACACACTCCTGAACCCACTATGTTGTGTGTTACATACTCCTGACCCATGCACTCTGGGTTTATATTTTGCAGAAAATCATACATAATGAAAGCATTTAATTTAAAAAATACTATTGCGTAGAGGTTTATATGTGTCTGTGAGAGTCTCACAATTGACGCAGTTATTGAAATGACAATGACAGAAGAATGTGTGAGCAGTGCATACAGTCAGTAGGCTCAGGTTCTACTCAGCTTTGCATTTTAAGTCCCTCCCACTGTCAGCACAATGTGGCCTAACACATTGTTTGCTATAGCACACGTAACATGCCACATTACTTCATATTTTCATTGTGTTCCAGATATTCAAAAATCCTAGCAACCCTCCAAGTATATAGACAGGTGTATCCTATCCTCTCCAGTACATTTTGAAGGTACAACGGATGGATGTGATTTTTTGATGTAATGTAATGCAGATTCATTGATTCACCGAAATCCTTACTGCTCCCATTTCACACCTTGTCTGTATTTAAGTCTCCACCCCCATCATTATTTTGAAGCAAGAGAGACTCTGCAGTCTCTAATTGCAATAATCTTTCATAATGCTTTCAGTAACCACAGACCATGTGATATTTAGCTCTAGTGTCTTTAATCTTGGCAAGAAAGAGGTCCTTTTCCACTACAATACAGTAGTTATATGATTTGGTTATACTGACATGCCTGTTTCATGTAATCTGTTCATTTTAGTGACAGGTAATATTAGGTCAATGCATTAAATATTAATATATTGATGTATTTATTTATTTATTACAACAATTCTGCTCATACAACTTAGTAATTACAAAGCGCAGCATAAAGACATTTCTGCTCTGAAATGTATACCACATTCTATGTTTTGTTTCCAGATTTAACTTCTTCTACAGTGGAACCTATTTCTTCTGCTACCAATACATTTAACTAATCTAAATTTAACTGCTCCCCCCACCCTTGCCCTCACCATGTTATCTATACCTCCTCGTACAGTACATACCACAGGTCAGCAGTTGACCTAGTGCAATAAAAGCAAAGGATCATGGCTTTCCTTTAGGACCTTTAGAGAGTAAGCCTTGTACAGTATGTACAGCACGCACAGCATGTCAGTTTGGAACTGGACTGGAGCACCATGTGGCATAGGCATTTGGTCCCTGTACCTGCTGGTCTAAGATATGTAAAGGGAGTACCAGTAGCATGGGGAGAGTGAGGTGGGCTATTAGGCTTAGGTTAGTTAAAGGTATAGCTATCATAGCAATACAGCATAAGTGTCAGGATCTAAATCTTAACCTAGAACCTCTGCAGTGTCTGGCTGTGGTACCTGAGATGCTGGACAGCTCCTCCCTAAACCCTTGGCCAACCTCACTTTGTATCTTTTTTTTCTGGTGAACCTTAAACTCCTTGCTCTTCCCATGAACTTCCAATTTAAGCCTCTGCACTACCTGTTTTCTAGATTATTTTGCTCTTCTTCAGCCAATAATTTGCTGCCAACCATATCTTCACTACCACCCATTATCAACCTTTGGCTTGCTCCTAGACTATGCTTCCGCTTGATCCCAACCTGCAACCATTCACTACCAACCTTTGCCTTGTCTACTCACTACGCTACACTACTGCTTGATCCCTAACTGCTACATCTGCTACTGGACCCCAGCTTGCTCATTCCCTGGTTGGAGCAATTCTGAGGATCGCAACTTATCTCCATGATCAGGAGCTCTGGTGAAGGCTGGTTAATGCTTAGACCTGGTGCCTTGGGTGAGTCTACAACATCCTCCAAAGAGACATTTTTGTGCATTTATCCTGCTGATTTCTGTATGAATCTTTCCACTGCTACAGCTACTGGCCCCTGAGCCTGACCTCTGACCATGACAATAAGTTTGCTTTAATATCAATAAACTTGTAATAAATCCTGCTAATGATGGTATTCACTACCTATAAAATAACATTTTATATAGATAAATCCATACAGCAAAGAGAAGCTTGCATTTTATCAAGTATATTACTTATTTAGTATAGCCCACTGAGTGTACACTGACGTCAAAAGGTAGACTCATAGAAAAGGGGACCTAGCCAGAGTTTGAAAAAGGTCTTGGCCATGAAAGTGATATTGGTGTAAGGCAGGGGTCTCCAAACTTTCTAAACAAAGGACCAGTTTATTATCCTTCATACTTCAGAAGGGCCAGGCCGTGGCCAGTGGGAATAGAAAATGTCCTGATGTTGGTAACAACGCCCATCACTGGTGTCAGTAAGAGGGATAGTGCCC